GTGCTCCAGGACTTCTGAGGAGGAGTTAGGATGGTGGGTTTATGCTCAGTGCTCTGGGACTTCGGAGGAGGGGTCAGGATGGTGGGTTTCTGCTCGGTGCTCCAAAAGCCCATTTTTATCATAGATACTTGAGGACAGCAATGGTGTGTTTTCTGTAGAGCGTAAGTTAAGCAGCCAAGCACTTAAACAGTCATAGTTTTTTTTTTTTGTCTCCTAAAATTTTCCTGAACTGATGCTCTATGGCAAAGGGGGCTATTTAGCAGCCGTTTACAGCAGCGAATCATAAACAGGTCTGTTTTCTCCTTTGATAGCAGCATTGTTTTTTCCTGACAGTTTGAGCAATATTGATGGTCTGGATAATTTTGTTTTGTTCAGGTGGAGCCTTTCTTTGTTACCCTATCCCTGTTTGACATCAAATACAACCGAAAGATTTCTGCTGATTTCCACGTGGACCTGAACCATTCCTCAGTGAGGCAGATGCTGGCCACCACGCCCCCAGCCCTGATGAACGGAGGCAGGCAGACCTCACCTGTGCTTCAGGACGTCCTACAGGAAGCCGCTATGCAGTACCCCAAGCAGGTGGGGGCGCGAAGCCAGAGGCAGTGCTCCGAGGAGTGGTCTTGCACATGCTATGTAAACATATTGAGAATGCCAGATGGGACTTTGTGGTACACTGTTGGGGTAACTTAGACTGTTGGATTTTATTGACAGTATGTGTAATTAGGCAGTAGAAGCAGGCTGAGAGAGAAATGATTTTTTATTTCTTTTTTGTAAACTTCCTCCTAGTTGCCTGCCCTCCTGGGTAAATTTTTTGAGATGATGAGCTCTTGATCAGTGAACCAGTGTGGCGCTGGTGTTTCTTAGTAGCCACGCTGTTACACTGTATAGAAATGTGTGTGCTTATGGGGTTTGTTTAACGTGACTGTGACTTCTACTCACTGAAGAAAATTGTCTGTCCTCTAGGGGATATTTTCAGTCACGTGTCCTCATCCAGATATATTTCTCGTGGCCAGGATTGAGAAGGTCCTCCAGGGAAGCATCACCCATTGTGCTGAGCCGTATATGAAAAGCTCAGACTCCTCTAAGGTACGAATGACCTTCGTGGGTTGTTGTCGTTGCCAGTTGTGGTCCAGTCGGGCCCTGACTCAGGGCAGCCCCGCGCACCAGAACAGAACCAGTGCTGCCGGTCTTGTACCTTCCCTGTGATCGGTTGTGGATCACACAGTGTCCCGTTGTGACCCACGGGGTTTGCAATGTCTGATTTTCAGAATGGATCTCCAGGCCTTTCTTCCTAGTCTGTCTTGGTCTGGAAGCTCCGCTGAAACCTTTCAGCATTATAGCAACACGCAGGTCACCACTGACAGGTGGCTGGTGGCTGTGCATGAGGTGCGTTGGCCGGGAATCGAACCCAGGTCTCCTGGATGGAAGGCAAGAGTTTAACAAATGAATCACCAATGCCTAATGCCTCTTTAAAACCAAATGGGGGAATTATTTGGTGGTTCTGTGTCTGGTGGGCCAGTTTATCAGTCTGCTTTCCACACAGGTGTCATCTGTTGAGTTGACACGCTGTGGTTGCTGTAGCTGTTAGCTGTCAGCTGTCGTTGACTTGGCCGTGACTCATGGCAACCCCGTGCAGAATGGAACAAAATGTCGAGCCCTGCGCTGTCCCTGTGACTGGCTGTGGATCGGACAATGTTCTGTTGTGATCCATAGGGTTTTCATTGGCTGGTTTTTGGAAGCAGGTCACCAGGCCTTTGCTCCTAGTCTGCCATAGTCTGGAAGCTCTGCTGAAACTGTTCAGCATCATAACAACACACAAGTCTCCACTGACAGATAGGTGGTGGCTGTGCCTAGCGTGCATTGGCTGGGAGTTAAACCCGGGTCTCCCACCCGGGGGGGAGAATTCTGCCACTGAACCACCAGGGCCTCATGCTCTGTGCTCTGTCCTTTATGCTTTATGATGATTAAAAGCAGTCTGAAAAAAGAATTGATGTTTTAGTGGCTTTATGCCAAAATATTAATGCTTGAAGAAAGCAAAGTTAATTTATATCAAAGCTATATTTATATTCTAAAAGATGTAGAATACACATATTCGCTCATACATTTAACTTCATGTGTCTGCTTTTCAATGAAAAGCACGCCAGTGTATAAATAAAATGCTTCATTTAACCAGTCCATCCTGATAATCCTAAAATAATTTGCACAGGAATTACCAGTTTAATAGTAGACCATGTGCCATTAAAAGACACGTGTGTTAGATTCACATAGAGTTCATTGCACTTGTTGGATGTGTCTCTGGGTTATAGAGTTGTGTTTCGGTCCATTTACACTTACGTCTGAGTTTTATTCCATCCAGTCCTTAGTATTAAGTGTCTATTGGTTTAGACATTTGTGTTTCAGATGTAAGAGGCATGATTTTACAAATGTATCATGATACTGTGACAAGGAAAAATTCCTTCCAAATTAAGAATGTTCTTCATGTACTATACCTGTAAAAAGAAAGGATGAGTGCTTCTTTGTGTTTTCCAGGAACTCCTAGTAGAAGTCTTCGTAAACACGAGAAAGATAAGACATAGGGGGTTGTAATCGGTATATGGAACTCAGAAGTTTCTTTTCTGAGGATCAGTGTTGTAAATAGAATTTATTTTCTATAAATTCACAGAGTATTATGTATTTGTGATTAAAAAAAGGTAGCACAGAAGCTAAATAATTGAATAGAACATAGATATATATATTTTTAAGGTTTTTTTGCTGCCAGCTACTGAGAAAAAAAGTGGAATTAATTAGAAGAAAATAGACGTCTACGAGAGTGGGGACTGCTGTACTGATTCTGAGCTAAAGTGACGTTGGAGCCTTCTCCAGAATTTTGGCAGCAAATGGTTCTGAAGCTTAGATATACTTCAAAGCAGTTGCTTTTTTACCACTTGGTACTGAATTTTCTTTGTACTTTCCATTATGAGTAGGGCTTTTCTTTTTTTTTTCACTTACAAATGGAAAGGAAAGGGGGGGAAAAATTCTTCCAAGGAAACTAAGCAATAATAGGAGAAGTAAAAGAATCGAGAAAGTAAGGGATGACAGAGAGAGAGAACGTGTGAATACCTGCATACATATGTATGTTTGTCTGAATGGAAATAACTGAGCTGTGAACAGTGAAGGAGAAACATGGGGGAGCCTGGAGACTAGGAGACGATCTTATCTCAGATGGTCTGGCCGAGTAATGTCAGCAATTCAGGGCCACTGGTTTTTGTCCAGAGGGGGAGGATTATGGTGGCAGAGGTGGGATAACCTTGGGTAGAAAAGAGAAAGGAAACATTCAACATGTTTGGTGTATTTTCAAAGTAGTGTTCATTATTTGGGTGGCGGGGGGTGGTGCCTGGACATGGACATACCATAGAATTATTGAATATTAGAACTAGAAACGTTATTAGAAGTCAGCTAGCCCAAGACCTCCTTATATACTCCACAAAGCTGAGGTTTAGAAAGGTGTAGCTACCTGCTCGGTGTCACACAGCTTAGCTGCCAAATGGCTCTCGACTATCACTTCTCTGACGTGTGCTGCCCGGTTCACGTGAGCTACCGAGTGCTGTTGTACACACCAGTTTCACGATGTGCTTAGTTGTTTTGTTTTCATGTTTCATGAGAGGTCCTCTTGGAGATGGCCCTGACACAGTTACTAGGGGGTGGTCAGCAGTTGGAGTGGACACCTCAGAGGCTCTGACCTGGGTCTACTGAGTGGGCTCAGAGCTTTCTCTTCCCATCTCTGTGGTCATGCATACATCACATGTGTGTCCACCATGATGCAGAATGGTCTTTAAGGGACAGGTTCTAGGAGGCAGAAGATCTGGGTGCTGAGTGCCTAACTAACCTGGGTTCTTTGGACAAACCACTTCACCTCTCTGGGCCCCAGACATCCCATCTGTAGATAAAGGATGATGTTACTACCTGTCCCTGCTTTCCTCCCAGGGACAGTGTTAGGAGCAAACAGATGATGTGCAGACAGAAAGTGCTGTGGACGCCTCGAGGCACTGAATGCATGGAAGGACGGTATCATCATTTATTACAGCTCTAGCCAACTAAACGCCCGTTTACTCCGCGTGTTGCTTTTTTGGCTGATGAAAACCGAGTAAGGTTTGATCTCTGGAGATAAGCTGCTTTGTTTTTTTAAACCAGGTCTATGAAACCTTGGGTGAGAAGTTTTTCAAGCTCTTTTATGTTTTGATTAATAATCAGTGAATGCCCAAGATAAAATCTACTCCGCTGACTGTGTATGCCACACTTTTCCAAAGCCCATATGAACCAATTTTGTCACCTCTGCTTGCCCCATGCACGGTTTCAAATTTGACATGGCATATTGGTGCAAAAAGCATCTATCGCCGTGGATTAGACTTGACACTGTCCATTTCCCAGTGTCCACTGGGCATCTGTCGAAGTCTGCTTTTCCCTCATTACTTACGGAATGGGAAGCTCATCCATGTGTTCATTATTCCACGCATTCTTTTCCTATCGCTTCCAAAGCATTGAATTATGAGGCCCTTAAGGCTCAGTGTCCGAATAGGCAGAAGATGTTACAGAGGGATTTTGTTTCCTGTATGTCAAAGTTTTCATGTTTTCCAGGATGGCCTAGAACATTGTTTCGAGGGAATTTGTATGAAAAGTCTCTATGTGTCTGCCGTGAAGAGATTAGAGGGAGGGAGTGGGGGAAGGGAAGGAGGGAGGGAGAGAAGGAAATGGAAAAAAAATCCCAACTTTCATACATAATATGTTCTCTCTGCACCCTTGGTAAGTCTGAGTGCTCAGCCCATGTTAGCTACAGGGAAGAATGAAACTTAATGGAAACCTTGTGTTTTAACTTTAAAATTTATGCAAGTATTTCAGTGCGGTGTTTACTCCACAACACACTCATTATTGTTAAAACCTAAAAATAATAGTTTCTGCCTGAAAATATTAAAGTAAAATTGTTGCTCCAGGAAGATAGACCACTTTACATAGTGACCACATATACCAGGGACCCCACTTTGTCACCCTGCAAAGGTATGAATCTATCCTCTTTGAAAGGGAAGGACTAGATGGTCTCCTGACATTTTTTTTCCAGTACAGATTTATGTTTTCCTGTTGGGTCACAAAGGCAGCACTTCCCAGAGCATGATTATGGTAGAATCATAAAGTTTTGTAACTGGAAGATAATGAAAGGTACAGCCAAGCTCTTGCATTTCTTCTGATGCACATCTGGGCAGACTCAAACCTCCAACCTTCCAGTGAGCAGCTAAGTGCGTTAACCATTTGCACCATTCAGGAACACCTTGATGTACTTAAGTAATGTAAAAGACCCTTCAGCCCACTGCTCTGACTCTCTGAATCAATCAAATTTTGTATTGATAACAATGCAGTGTCACAGTACAAGCAAATTTGGGGGAAATTTGGTATTCTCTGCTTTAGCAGTAGCGATATAGGTGATTAATGATGGAACTGTCAGGCGTACATACCTTGGGCCAAAAGCAAATATGATTTGCTGTGCACTACAGGGTTAATCAGTCAACCCACAACAAACCAAAGTTGGTCATGAGGAAGTGAAAATAACAGTCACTTATGCTTAAAAAGCAAGAACACAGCAATTGAACACCCTGGCCAACTTAAGTCAATACCCATAATGCCTTTCTCATGGATTGAACTGTGTCCCCCCAACATGTGTGTCAACTTGGCTAGGCCATGATTCCCAGTGTTGTGGGATTGTCCACCATTTTGTCGTCTAATGTGATTTTCCTATGTATTGTAAATCCTACCTCTATGATGTTAATGAGGCAGGATTAGAGGCAGTTATGTTAATGAGGCAAAACTCAATCTACAAGATTAGGTTGTGTCTTAAGACAATCTCTTTTGAGATATAAAAAAGAAGCAAGCAGAGAGACAGAGGGACCTCATGCCACCAAGAGTGAAGAACCAGGAGGGGAGCACGTCCTTTGGACCCAGGGTCCCTGCACTGAGAAGCTCCTAGACCCAGGGGAAGACTGATGACAAAGACCTTCCCCCAGAGCCAACAGAGAGAGAAAGACTTCCCCTGAATTCAGACTTCTGGCCTCCTAGACTGTGAGAGAATAAACTTCTGTTTGTTAAAGCCATCCACTTGTGGTATTTCTGTCACAGCAGCACTAGATAATGAATAATGAATATTTTTCCTCCAAATTGTGGGAATCTGCACAAGCCAGTGCACATTAGGAGCTGCGGAAACTTAGTGTTTTAGTGTTCTCATAAAACTCTAGTAATGTGATATATTTTTGCATGAATACCAAGTATTAATAATTATTAATAACTCAGTGAGCCAATGATAAGCCGTAGTCATAAAGAACTATTAAAGCCTATGAAGTTGTTTGCCTGTTGCCTGTGAAGACCAAAGAAAAGAATCATGCATTTTGCATTTTGGAAACAGCCCTCATTCTATAAAGAGGAGTCTCTTAGAATGCCAGGTTGTGATCTGTTCTTGGAGAATCACTGCTAGAAAATACATTAAACAAACAACTCTGGGCTGACCGTAGCTCCAGCTGTATTCATTACTGTAAAATGCATTTCTCTGTGCGTCTGGTACTGTGCTAACAGCTTGTTTAATGAATGTGTGATGATGGGTCTTTACATCATAGTTCTCCTGTCAGTGAGATGCAGCACCTCATCATTTTATTCTGATGTCTTCAAGGTTGCCCAGAAGGTGCTGAAGAACGCCAAGCAGGCGTGCCAAAGACTAGGACAGTACCGAATGCCGTTTGCTTGGGCAGCAAGGTAGGGGAGCACCTTTCCTACCTTTTATTTAGATACATGGGTATAGATAGGTAGATAGACCAACCTATTCTGTTTCAGTTGTCCAGAGAAAAAGAGGATTAGAAAATGTAAAATTATAGTGTGTAAAATTAAGTCTGAAGAAATCATTTCTTAGAGTTGTATAGAGGAAAGAGGGTGGGCTGGAGGGTGGCGGCGTTGGAGCGAGCAGGGTGGAGAGGAGTGTTTGCTGCAGAGCTGGGATCCCAAGTCCCAGCCACACGTCTCCAGCCAGGAGGGCTGGCAGCCCAGTGAGGCTGCAGGTTTGGTCTCCTAATTACCTGACTCTGTATGTTGTTTCCTAAGCGCAAGCCATTTGCTGGAACTATTTTCTATGTAAATTGAGTTAGCTGTGTTCACCCTCATAAATATCTTCCATGTTTTGAGATAATGCGATTTTCTTGGTGATGGCTAATGGAATAATAATTCATCTTCACATAGAAACCAGAGTTAAATTATGGATTTATTTTGGTCTTTGGAAAACCCGATTTAGAAATGTTTCTTTGGTATTTCAGGACATTGTTTAAGGATGCATCTGGAAACCTTGACAAGAACGCCAGATTTTCTGCTCTCTACAAGCAGGACAGCAATAAGCTATCAAATGACGACATGCTGAAGTTACTTGCAGACTTTCGGAAGTGAGTTACAAGGCCTTATTTATTTGCACATCTGAAAAACAGACGTTGTGAGGGTGGGGGGTGGAGCAGTCTTTGAAATTGCTCAGCTCAAGCATCATGGGGGTTGTTGGAATGGGAACAGCCTATGCTAAGGAGCGTGGAAATTTCCTCAAGTTCTTGGGAAGGAAAAAAAGGTTTAAAATCAGAATAACCTGGCTAATTTGAGTTCTGTGGAGAATCTTTTTGGTGGTGCTGTGAAGGCTGGGTAGAAATGAGCCTGGGGAGGAAGGAGACAATTGAGAAGCCTTTGACAGGAGATGACTATGGGCCCAGCGAAGCCACTGAGAGTGGAGACAGGAGGAAGTGAACCTATTCAGGGCATGTCAAAGAACCAGAATTATTGTGCCCTAGGTTTCTGATTGGGTGTGAGAGCAGAACAAGAAAGAAGTGGGTGGTAGTCTAAGATGAATACTTCCAGGCTTCTGACTTGCATGATGGATTGACTCATGGTACCATAACTGAATGAGTGAATGGGGGAGAATGATAGTAGCTTATATAACCCAAAACCAAGCCATTGCTGTTGAGTTGATTCTGACTCATAGCGACCCTATAGGACAGAGTAGAGCTGCCCCATAGGGTTTCCAAAGAGCAGCTGGTGGATTCAAACTGCTGACCTTTTTGTTAGCAGCCAAGCTCTTAACCACTGTACCACCAGGGCTATTTTTAGACATTGTGCTAAATGCTTCATCCATATAAATGGGCAAATCTATGGGTAGGTAATATTGCCATCCCCGCGTTACAGAGGAAGAAGTTGAGGCAGAGAAGTAGAGCAACATGTCCAACATCACACAGATAGTAGTAGGTAGAAATCAGTCTGTCCCAAAGGTCCGTGCTCTTAACCACTGTGCTATTCTGCCTGTCCATCTTAGCAAGTTCACTTCTGAACCTATAAAGCTGATTTCCTTTGCTAGGGATATGGATTTTAGAAATTTTCTGGGAAACTTCTGGGAATGAGAAGTAACTGAGGGTATTAAGAGATAGTGAAATGAAAAGAGCAGCTAAGAGCCAGGAGCTGACTATTCAATGCCATATGTACCTTTAATGGTTTTTTTTTTTTAATTTAAAACAATGCATATAAGTATAAAAACAATATTATCAGTTTGCCTAGAACTCAAGAATGGTTGTTTAACTTTCTTTAACTTCATTTTTGCCTTTTTCTAGCTTCTCTCTTCAGTTGTAAAACTAGAAGAGACATGCGTAAGTCATAGGAACAGGCTCAATAAATTCCAAAAACTTAGATATTTCTAATAATTCCTTATAATTTGACCATGTCAACAAGTGTCTTCAGCTTTAGAGATGATGTGGAATCCCTTTATCAAGAGATTTAAAAGGGGGAAAGAGGAAGAAATAATTGTAGATGGATCAAGGTGGGTTTTTATGAAAGTGATGAAGAATTCTCAAGGTTCCTTTCAGTTCTGTGATTTTATAATTCTTGATTGTCTTGATTTTTTCCTTTCCATTTTGGGCCTTAATGGGAAGTGCAGTCCTAATTTTCCCTTCACTAATTTCCTTCCCTGTACCAATGAGGTTTGTAGTTCAGCAAAGCAGCTCAAGTACACACCTACTGGGGTGATGGTGAATAAATCCTTCCCCACCTAACTTAGGTAATTAGAGCAGGGATAGATGAGGATGCAGAATACAGGATGAGTCGTCACTGGGCTTAGCCTCACTGTGTTCTGGACCACGCAGGTGTCCCTAATTGCTGGCCACACACCTGACCATCACGTGTCCTGATACGGAAGGGGACCTGGTCTGAGAGTGCACCTGGATCCTCTGAGAATCTGTCACTGTTCTTGGAAGGCTAAATGAAATATTTATACTTTATTTTAGTTTCTAAATAATAGAGGTTCTTTTGCTTAAAAAGTAATGCATGTTCATTATAGAAATTTTGAGAAGTACAGAAAAATGGCTTAGCTATAGTGCTGCCCTCACTGGAGGACCATCCTGAACATTTGGGGGCATTTCCCTTCTGATTCTTTCGTTGGTTGGGTGTAGTTGTGGTCGTACTGCAGATGTATCTTCCCTTGCGCGAGTACTTTTTGCAGGTGTCACACAGGTTTATACACCGCTTATAGTGCCTCCATAGTAGCTCATTGAGCGCACGGACCGTGGATTGTTTACTTTTGCACATTTACAGTGTTTCTAATCTTTCAGGCTTGTATATTCACATTTTAACATCCTAAAAAAAACCCTTTTATTGATAATAAGTAACATTTAATCATACGTACTGTGTTGCAAAAACCTCGTCGCCGTCGAGTCGATTCTGACTCATAGCGATCCTATAGGACAGGGTAGAACTGCCCCATAGGGTTTCCAAAGAATGGCTGGTAGATTCAAACTACCGACCTTTTGGTTAGCAGCCGAGTTCTTACCCACTGCACCACCAGGGCTCCCATACTGTGTTGGCATACAGTAATTATTGTCATTTCTTTTATTTGAGTTCCAGGAAACTTGTTTATAGAATAAACATGTTTATAGAATAAAAAGTTACCTTTTTTGAAAAGTGGTCACCTTTGGTTAAATGGATTAGAATGTTTTCTCTCACTAGAATATGTAATAAATATTAATGATATAGGTCTCCATGTACTCACTTAGGAAATGAACACATTATATGGTTAGGGAGGAAAACTACATCTGTGTGACCTACTTTTTTAAAAGAAAATATGTTACATATTTCTCTTTGTATGTAAGTGAATGAATGGATAGGAAAGTGGTTAGCTAGATGGAGAGACAAACTGGCATAAGAATAGCCACGTAGGATATACGCCAAGGTGCTAATCACTGTTACCTCTGAGTCGTGGGCCTGTGGATGATTTTTCATTCACCGCTTTATCGTTTTCCTCAATTTTACGTGAATTTTTTTAACTAACATTCGCTATTGTATTCACAATAAACAGACAATGGAGTTTGTAAAATGTGATGGTGGTTGGAAGCCCTGTCTTAAAGTTACCTCCTAAGCTGGTTAACCTGAGTCCCCTACTCCCAGCAGTGACTCTTCAGAGAACCCCCAGCACAGGGTCTGTCTTCTTCAGTGGGGGCTGGAGGATGGGGTTCACGAGGTCATTATCAAAAAGCCATCTGAGGGCAAAGCCACGGCCAGCCAGCAAGCAGCACAGACCTTTGCTGGCTGAGAGCACAGGGAGAAGCTGGCTGTGGGTTCTTCCCCTCCACAGCAGGCCTTCCTGCCTGTGCTCACTTACAAGGATTTAGTGGGAAGAGTGTGCTCCAGGCAGCTAAAGACCCAGAAACTGGAAAATAAGGGCCAGATGCTAACAGCATTGGAATACACACAGCAGAGGGGGAGCAGTAGCCTTCCCTGTAAGAATGCAGAAGTGTCAGTGTCCCAGCCTGTTTTCTTCACAGTAGAGTTAGGGAAGCGGACCATTCCTTTTTTGTTGTTGGTTGGTTGGTTGTGTCTTAGTCATCTAGTGCTGCTATAACAGAAATACCGCAAGTGGATGGCTTCAACAAAAAGAAGTTTGTTCTCTCACAGTCTAGTAGGCTACAAGTCCAAATTCAAGGCATCAGCTCCAGGAAAAAGCTTTCTGTCTCTGTTGGCTCTGGAGGAAGGTCCTTGCCATCAATCTTCTCTTGGTCTAGTAGCTGCTCTGGCACAGGGATCCCAGGTCCAAAGGACACGCTCCGCTCCAGGTGCTGCTTTCTTGGTGGTGTGAGGTCCCCAACTCTCTGTTCACTTCCCTTTTATCTCTTGTAAGATAAAAGTGATGCAGGCCACACCACAGGGAAACTTCCTTTACATTGGATCAGAGATGTGACCTGAGTTAAGGGTGTTATATCTGACCCTTATCCTCTTTAACCTTATCTAATCTTGCCTCATTAATCACAAACAGAGATTAGGATTTACAACACATGAGGAAAGTTACATCAATCACAAAATAGAAGACAACCACACAATACTGGGAATCATGGCCTAACAAAGTTGACGCATATTTTTGGGGAACACAATTCAATCCATGACTGTTTGTTTGTTTGTTTGTTTTTTAACCTCAGCTTTGCTCTTTTTCTTTTATTTTTTTACAGGATATAGTCTGATGTTAGTGGCCCGGGCACACAGATTGAATCCAAAGCTATTGTTGGTTCTTTTCCCATTATTGTCTCAAAATGTCATTTAATATTAGATAAAAAAAAAAAAATTTTTTCCCTGAAATTCTTATGATAGGAATTGCTAACTTAAAGTCAGTTGTAAATAAAAGACAAATGGAAATGAGAGGAACCTTGAGAGAAAGTGATTCTGCAACTTAGAGCTTGCGATAGGCAAAGTGGGTATATTCCTCATAATCTCTAGTCTTAAGGAGACAAAAAGTCAGAATTTTTAGGGAAACCTGTTTCAGATGAACAGTATTCCAGGATAAACCCAGAAGTGGCAGCGAGACAGTTACATGTGAGACTGATAACAGTAATGTCTGAGAAATCTCAAAAACTGGAGGTAGCAACTTTTCAAAAACGGGAGATTAGATGCTGAGTCTGTAGGCCACTGAGTTTTAAGGGTCCTTGGCAACGTCCTAAAAGAAATTGTGAAACAGATGGCTTATGAAAAACCATAAGGCAGCGTTCTGTTTTCTAGTAATAAGCCATGTCATGTGGAACTAGGCATCCTAATCACATTGCTTCTTCTCTCTCATTAATTGGGTTACGAAGCTGCTACAGTAGAGGATTGCAGAGTCTTTGGCAGAGTGTATATACCATGATATCCTCTGAACGAGTCAGAGAAATGCTGCATGCATGAGAAGACAGTTGTTCAACTTCTGGAGTGACCAGATGCAAGGACAAATGATTAATGGCTGGTATCAGTCTGGAGATGGTCTCTAGGGGTTTGAGAAGGAGCCTGTTCTTGGCAATATCTTATGCAATATCTTCATCAATGACATTTATGACAGTATAACTGGTGGATTAAATGCGTTCATGGCATAAAGCTATTAGGAATATCCAATATGTTAGATGTTAGAATCTGGAGTTAGGAAGATTTTGACCACCGAGAAACGGCTCAGATCTAGAAAGATGAAATTTCATAACGACAAAAACAAAATCCTGTTCTGAGGTCCAAAAACATAATTGTGTAAATCCAAGGTGGCATGATGTAGCATAAGCTATGTCATGTGGAACTAGGCATCCTAATCACATTGCTTCTTCTCTCATTAATTGGGTTACGAAGCTGCTACAGGAGAGGATTGCAGAGTCTTTGGCAGAGTGTATATACCATGATATCCTCTGAACGAGTCAGAGAAATGCTGAATGCATGCGAAGACAGTTGTCAGTAAAGTATATGAAAGAATATTCAGAAATTTTAGATGATTGCAAATTTAATGTAGTTCACCAGAGTGGTGTGGCTACCCAAAACTGATAGTATTTTGGCTGTATTAATATATTATTCAAAACCAGAGGGCTTCCCCATCCCAACTGGTCAGACCATTCTGGGCGTAATCTATGCAATTCTGGGTACCATGTTGTAAATGAGACATTCTTGTAGTAGAGAAATGGCACTGGAGGAAGATGCAAAAGAGCTGAGAACAGAGGACTTCAGAAAGATACAGTAATTGTGTTTAGACGGTTGAAAGGTATTCTATAGAGGAACATAACTAGGCTCATTGATGAATGGAAGTTTCAGGGATGAAGGAGCCCTGGTGGCATGGTGGTTAAGCGCTTGTCTGCTAATACAGTTTCTAGCAAAACGGTGGGTACAAAGCAGGTGCTCAGTGGATATTTGTTCCTGTATTTGGTCAAACCTCAATCCAATACAGGAATCTCTGTCTGTTTCTCTTTTCACAGCTGTTAGGGTTTTATGTATTTTGGAGCCCTATCATTGGATATGTATATATTTATTATGGTTATGTCCTCTTGGTAAATTAACCCTTTAATCATTATGTAATGTACTTCCTTATCTTTTATGGTAGATTTTGATTTAAAGTCTATTTCATCAGAGATTAATATTGCCATTCCTGTTCTTTTTTGGTTGTTTGCTTGATATATTTTTTCTATCCTTTGAGTTTTAGTTTATTTATGTCTTTGTGACTAAAGTGTATCTCTTGTAGAAGCATATTGATGGGTTTTTTTTTTTTTTTTAATCCATTCTGCTACTCTCTGTCTCTTTACTGGTGTATTTAAGCCATTTCTATTCAGTGTGATTATCAATAGATATAAGTTTATTGCTCTCATTTTGTTGTGCTTTTTTTTTTTTTTTTTTTTTTTTTGTGGTGGTGATGGTTTCTTTGTTCTGCTTAATTTTCTGTCCTGAGTGCTTTTTGTTTGTGGATTTTCTTTTCATTTCTTTCTTTGTTGTTGATTTTGTGTTTACTGAGTCTTTATGTTTTTCTTCTTTTTTGATGAGTAGGTTTGTTAGCTTTCTTTGTGGTTACCTTGAAATTTACCCTTATCTTCATAAGTTTAAGGCAGTCTTTTATTTCTTGATACTGCATTGACTTTCTCACCGTATGAAAGGTCTATAACTACACCATTTATTCCCCCTTTTCACTTTGATGTTGTTGTTATTTACAGATTGATGTCTCTGTTCCCTGTTTTCAGTCTTTTAGCTTTGTTTTATTTTTGAAAATTCTTTATCTGGGTTGGTATCTGGCTGATGCTGTCCTGTTTCCTAATCTCAAGTTGTCTGATGTTGCTGGTTCTCTGTCCAAAGGACTCTCTTTAATATTTCTTATCTGGTTTTTACAGATTCCCTTAATTTCTATTTATCTGGAAATGTCCTAATTTTGCCATCGTATCTGAGAGACTGTTTTGCTTGATGTGTAATTTTTGGTTGGCAGGGTGTTTTTCAAGGTTTTATGTATGTCATTCCATTGCCTTCTTGCCTGCATGGTTTCTGCGGGGTAATTAGAGTGTAGTCCTATTGGTTCCCCTTTGTAGATGATTTTTTGCTTTTCTCAAACTGCTCTCAGGATTTTCTTTGTCTTTGGTTTTGGCAGGTTTGATTATGATATGTCTTAGTTAACTTTCTTTTGGGATCTATCCTGTATGGGGTTCGTTGAGTTTCTTAGAAGAATGTCTTCCCATCTTTCGTGATATTAGGGAAGTTTCCTGCCAGCAAATCTTCGGCAGCTCTGTATTTTTTGTTTGTTTGTTTTGCCTCCTCCTGTTCTGGAGTTCTGATCATGTGTAAATTTTTCCTCTTGATAGTGCCCGCAAAATTCTTAGGCTTTCTTCATTCTTTTTTTTATTTTTCCTCAAACAAATTGGTGTCAAGGGATTTGTCCTCTATTTTGCTGATTCTGTCTTCCATTGTTTCAGTTCTACTCCTATGTCCTTCTATTGAGTTATAGATTTCTGATATTTATTGGTAATCTTTTGGATTTCTAGTTGTTGTTCTTGTATGGTTTCTGATTATCTATTTTGTCGTTTTGTTCTTATATTGTTTTCCTGAATTCGTCTATTGTTTTTTCTGTGCTTTCCTTGATTTTGTCTGTGTTTTTCTTGGTTTTGTCTGTTTTTGTTGATCTCTTGGAGAACCTTATATATTGGTCTTTTGAATTCTTTATCTGGTAGTTCCATTACTATTTCTTCCTCCAGAAGGTTTTCTAGTTCTTTATTTTGGTCACTTACTGGAGCCATCTTGTCCTGTGTCTTTACATGATTTAGTATTGTCTGTTGTCTCCAAGGCATTATGTGTTATTGTATTTATTTGTTGTGTGTTTGTTTGCTACATCCTGGTTTTTTGCTTTGTTTTAATATATCTGAGTAGGTGGGTGTGTAAGTGTGGATCTCTATTCACTGGTCTTGTGGGTGGCTGATGACAGCTGATGTTGGTGAGGTGTTGTGTCTGTCTGGCCAGTTACCTGGGCATGGGTACAGGAAGTGTTCTCACGGTCACTGGGTTGGATGCAGTGTGTGCACACTTCCTGGTGGTTGGGGCAAAGGTGCCTGGGTCATCAGTCACTGGGCGTGTGGCACAGAAACTCTCACCGATGGTCTTGGGTGGGCAGGGCTATGTGGGGGTAGTTGGAGCAGGCACAAGCCTCCGGTTGTGGGGGGCGGATGATGTAGGGGGTGAGTTAAGGGGGATGCTGCAAGTCCATGAGTGCCTGCTAGGAGGTCATGCCCCTGTCCACTAGAGCGTGATATGGGGGAGGGTGTGCTGCTGGTCCTCAGTCCCCCAGTGCATGTAGCTGGAGGGAGCAGGGAGTCCCACTGGTGTGTGGGCCCCAGCATGGGAAGCTGGGCATAGGAGTGGGTGTACCACTCCTCGGGCCCCTGGCACAGTTGGCTGGGCAGAACAGGGGGTGCCACAGATCCCTGGTGCTGGCAGTCAGGCAGAGGAGCAGACACCACTGGTCCATGGGCCCTGGCTTGGGTGGCTGGGCTTAGGAGTGGGCACCACCATTCTGCAGGCCCCCAGCGTGGGTGGGTGGGTAGAAGAGGGGGTGCTGCCCGTCCATGGGCCCTGGCTCGGTTGGCTGGGCATAGGAGTGGACGCTGCCATTCTACAGGCCCCCAGTGTGGTTGGATGGGTGGGAGAGGGAATGCCGCCCATCTATGGGCCCCTGGCGCTAGTGGATAGCAGAGAGGTGGGTGCTGCCAGTCCATGGCCCCCAGCTTGAAGGGCAGGGCAGTTGTGGGTGCCACCAGATCATGATCACATGCGGGGTGGGATGGATGAGACAGATGGAGAGTACATCGCAGGTCCACAGGCCTCCAGCATGGGGTGTTGGAGGGGCACGATGGGTGAAGTGAGCGCACTTAACTTTCACAGGGTGAGGAGCGCTCCTGCCTGGTTCTGGACGTGGGTGTAGACTCGCTTGTGCTTGGCTGCACCAGTGATGGGGGCTTCGGCCGGGATCACTGCTTGCTTTGTCTCAGTATGGCTACACTGTGCATGTTTGGCTGGCAGGGCACCAGTGATCCATAATTTTCCGTGTCTGCAGTCTCTCCTTCTGCTTGGCCGTTGGTTCTAGTTTTCAGCCTTGCTTTTTGATGCTCAGAGTTCCAAACTTGTCATCTATATCGGATTCACTTTTCTCCTGTCTTTGTTGTAAGAGAGACGTTATGAGGCATCTGACTATGCTGCCGTCTTACACCGTGTCCCAGGATGTATTCTTAAACTTAATTTTTCCTGTTTCTTTTTCCTTTTTTTTAATGTGCCTACTAGAAAATTAAAAATTACCTTCATGATTTGTGTTATGTTTGTCTGAGAAGTGCTGCTCTAGAATTCAGGTTTTAGAGGTAACCTAACTTTAAAACATTTGACTTTTCTTTTCTTTCATTTTCAGACCCGAGAAGATGGCTAAACTCCCAGTGATCTTAGGCAACCTAGACATTACAATTGATAATGTTTCCTCTGACTTCCCTAGTAAGTGTGAGTTCTATGTAATCAATGGACACAATTTTGTTTGGTTGGTTTTTGCTTCAATCTGATTTGTTTTAATATCTTTCCAGATTATGTTAATTCATCATACCTTCCCATGAAGCAGTTTGAAACCTGTACTAAAACTCCAATCACCTTTGAAGTAGAGGAGTTTGTGCCCTGCATACCAAAACACACTCAGCCTTACACCATCTACAATAATCACTTTTATGTTTACCCTAAGTACTTGAAATATGACAGTCAAAAGTCTTTTGCCAAGGTGAGTGCAAGGATTGGGGTTTCATTTTTTATATCAAAGTCTCTTAGGATTTGGCTTCCCCTGCTCTTTTATAAATACTTACATATTCTAACTTTTTGTTTTGGTTTATTTTCTTTTTCTTGCCCCCTTGAAATATTGCTGCAGGCCAGAAATATTGCTGTTTGTATTGAATTTAAAGATTCAGATGAGGAAGATGCTCAGCCTCTGAAGGTTTGTTTTTTATGTATGTTCACAAGCATACTTTTTTACATTTTAAAAATTATATTGTACAACTAAAGGAATTTTTAGCACATTTTAATGGACGCAGACACAAAAACATGTAACATTGCGTGTAACATAGCCACATGTGCTGTACCTTACAGAATGTGAAATAATTAAGTTCTTGCTCCTCATTGACTACTTCTGTTTTGTTATGCTCTTTAGGGATGAAGATTTCTTATATTCAATCCAATAAGTATTTATTGTGCACTTGCGTAAGCCAGGCATTGTTTACGGTGCTAAGAATTATGTTATTAATATTGATAATAGTAATAATAAAATATTAACAATAAACCGGTTGCCTTCAAGTCAGTTTCAACTCATGAAGGCCCCACATATGTCAGAGTAGAACTATGCTCCATAGGGTTTTCAGTGGCTGTTTTTTCAGAAGTAGATTGCCAGGCTTTTCTCCCCGGGTACCTCGGGGAGGACTCAAATTTTCAACCTTCTGATTAGCAGCCTAACGCATTAACCATTTGCACCACCCAAGGACTTCAGACAAACCCGTTGCTGTGGAGTCAACTCTGACTCATGGTGACCCCGTCTGTGTCAGAGCAGAAGTGTGCCTCATAGAGTTTCCCATGGCTGATTTTTTTAGAAGTAGATCACCAAACCTTTCTTCTGAGGTACCTCCAGCCTTTTGGTTAGCAGCCAATTGCGTTAAGCATTTGCACCACTCAGGGACTTCAGATTAACAATAGATGACATTTATTAAATATTTATTATAGTAATAATGATAAAACAAAAACAAACCCATTGCCGTCGAATCCATTCTGACTCATAGTGACGATACAGGACATTAGAACTGCACCATATGGTTTCCAAGGAGCAGCTGGTGGATTCGAACTGCCGACTTCTTAGTTAGCTGCCATAGCACTTAACCACTGCACCACCAGGGCAACAGTGATAGTAGTAGATTATAGTTTACATTTTTGGAACACTTATTATATTCCAAGCACTTCTCTTAGTGCTTTATGTGTATTGAACTCTCTTAATTTTCATAATAGTCTTTTGAGTTAGGTACTATCATTACTGCCATTTTTTGGATGAGGAGACTAATGCACAGAATTTAAACCAATTGCATAGGGTCGTATATTAACATTTAGTGCACCCAGGATTTAAACCCAGGCAGTCTGGCTCCAGAGCCCGTTTTCTTTACTGTAAGTATGTTAAAATGACTGTCAAAGAAGAGAAGCATACAAAGACGCAAAGAAGAGTAAAATACAGTTTCCGTCCACAAGGAGCCACAGTTAATTAGGAAAGACAGACATGGAGAAAATATATGTAATAAATTAGTCCTTTGGCAACACAGAAGGTACTGAAAACTTTTTTTTTTCTTTTTGGAAAAAAACAAATAATTATTACAGAAGGGGCATACAGAAAATGCTGAGGGAATGCAGAGAGGGGAGTTAGTCATCTCTCCTTTCTGGCCTGGCTGTGTCAAGGAAGTGAACAGTGAGCAGGGAGGAAGCAGTCCCAGGCCAGAACATGCAGGAGAGGGGAGAGGGCTCGGAGAGGGGCCTGAAGGTGAGAGAGACCCAGCTGTAAGGGGGCTTCAGGCCTGGAGCCTCTGCGGGCAGAGAAAAATCCATCCCAGGCGGTTGTGCTAAGTTTGTCCTGCAGGAGTGCCTCTTTGTTTCCAGCACTTCTGAGTTTAATTTCTTCATGAAGCAAATACTAGTGTTTCCCTCTGCTCACTCTTATTTTAGTGCATTTACGGTAGACCTGGTGGGCCAGTGTTCACGAGAAGCGCCTTTGCCACCGTCTTACACCATCACCAAAACCCGGAATTTTATGACGAGGTAAGTGGTTGTTTTCAAGGGAAGACCCAGTGCAACCAGTTCTCAGGATGACTCCAAGTTACTTGCTTGGTAAAGCAAAAGTGAAGAGAGGCTTCAGTGCGTTATACTGAAAATCACAGTGATAGAACTAAATATTGAAGTTTTTATTTTACATAAGCTTTCTTCTGATTATAAAAGTAACATGTTCATTGTAAAACGAATTTGGAAAATACAGATATTATCGAAAAGAAAAAGTCACACTCCCCAGCACAATCATCATCACTACTATGTTTAATATTCTGATATATTTACTTGGAAATTCATACCTAAGTATAGTTATGTTTATTGGTCCTGAGACTCTTCCTTTCTTTTTTTATTATTTTTTTTATTGTTGTAGTTTAAATGAAGTTTACATTTCAAGTTAGTCTCCCATACAAAAATTTACACATACATTGTTATGTGACTCTAATTGCTCTCCCCATACTGTGACAGCACACTGCTCCCTTCCACCCCTGATACCCCATGCCCATTCAGCCAGCCCCTAAGCCTCTCTGCCTTCCCATCTCAGCTCTGGACAGAAGCTGCCTGTTTAGTCTCATGTATCTCTGAGCTAAGAAGCACACTCTTCATGAGTATCATTTTGTGTCCCATGGTCCAGTCTAATCTTTGACTGAAGAATTGGCCTTGGGAATGGTTTTAGTTATGGGTTGACAGAGAGACCGGGGGCCGTGCTTTCTGGGATCCCTCCAGTCTCAGCCAGACCATTAAGTCTGGTCTTTTTACTAGAATTTGGTATATGTAGATCACTTTGGGTAGAATTGACATTTTCACAATGTTGGAGACTCTTCCTTTCTTACCAGTTGTTTGGCTTACCTAGAATTATAATGCAGTTCATCAGAACTACTATATGAATCCTGCTTTTAAACATTCTGTTCTGGTTTTCAATAATACCTTAGCTGGGTTAGGTTAGCGTATGGTTTCTGTTATCTGTGTTCTAATAGTTCTCAGAGTTGAAATACCCATCCATGAATCAAGGATCCATTTCTTCCTTGGCGTAATTTACAGTCTCAGATGGCTTAGAATGCAAATCTTAGTATCATTCTGGAGAACAAATGCATGCTTGTGCGTTGGGTGACACGTCCTGTCACTGCTCTCACCGAGAATTCTTGTTAATTGTTTTGCACTATTAGAAGGATCGTTATTTTGTCTTCCTTGCAGATTAAAATAGAATTACCCACCCAGCTACATGAGAAGCACCACTTGTTGTTCACGTTCTTCCACGTCAGCTGTGATAACTCAAGTAAAGGAAGCACAAAGAAGAAGGATGTTGTGGAAACACAAGGTTTGGAACATAGTCTTCCTTTGGTTTTTATAATAGCGTTAACATTGGGTTCTTACTTTGATTTGGTTTTTGTACCCTTATGCTAAGGGGTGAAGGGACCATGCCTGGGTTGCATATGTAAATTTTTATAAAAGATCATTTTAGAATTCTAACCCAAAGAGGGCAAACGACATTGTAGATGGTGTTCTGCAGAGACCTTTTTAAGTATCTTACTCTAATTGATATGGACAGTTCTTAAAGATCAGGCAGTTTGGTGACATTGGCTTTTTTCCCTAAGTTTTTTTTGTTCTTTGTTCTCAACAGTTGGATATTCCTGGCTTCCTCTCCTGAAGGATGGAAGGGTGGTGACTAACGAGCAGCATGCTCCTGTGTCAGCGAATCTTCCATCTGGTTACCTTGGCTACCAGGAGCTTGGGATGGGCAGGGTACACGGATTTTAAGATTGCTTTATTCCAGTCTCTTCAGAAAATATTGCAGAACGACTAAAACAACACCACCACCACCACCCCCCACCACACACACACACACAAAAAACCCACAGCATTTTTGCTAGTCCCAACATTTTAGTTTTAGTAATTCCTTTTCAGGAGCCCTGGTGGCGCAGCTCAGACCCACCAGGTGCTCCTTGGAGACCCTACGGGGCAATTCTACTTTGTCCTATAGGGTCACTGTGAGTTGGGATTGATGGCAACAGTTTTGGTTTCAGTTTAATTCCTTTTCACATCAGCTTAGGCCATTGAAAGACAGTGCTGTTGGCAGTTATCACGATTTCAGAATTTCAGCTGGGATGTTTTATAAGCCCTGGACTAGCTGTACCTCAGCAGGGAAATTAAGACTTGGAGATACTGCATGAGGTAGACGCCTGTCTGTGGAGACAGCCATGCCAGGCTAAAATAAAGATGAATTCTTAGGGTCAGGCAAGCTATTTTTAAGAATTTTCTTCTAGCTTATTGTAAGTCCGGTAGGCAAGTCTTTCATTCAAATGGTAGCCAGTTAATGGTACCATTTTGATTTATCAAAGCCTGATTTCACCAATAGATTTGTTGGATTTGTGTTCTTCAAGCCATCGTGAATTTTACAGACTTCAGTTTTGTAACATTAGATAAGATCATTTTCACTTTGTTTTGAAAATCCTTTTAATGTTTCTCTGCATTTAAATAATGCCAAGTTTAGAGCCATATTATGGACAAATAGTTAAAATATTCCAAATAATTCTTAGTCTTAACATGAGAACGTGGAAGTTTCAGAAGTGAGAATCATCATTTATGAGTGAGCCTTTGCCTGTGTCAGACATACTTACTGTCCTGCTTGCTTTATCTGGTACCTTCTGGCATCTTTTCAGAACCTGACCTCAAATTTGGTTAAGTCACGGTGGAATAGGATTCCTTTCCTCTCAAATGGACAGTAACTCATATAGCTGCAACTAAATAGAAAGGATAACTCAGGAAATATAGTAGAAAGAACATCGTGCTTGAGGGGAAGAAAGTGGGCAGAAGTGAATACTGGTTACATTTCTCCTGTGGACCAGGCACAACTACCAAGTCACTGAAGCTTTTGAGCCTCCAGCACACCTCATCAGTACACTCATTACTGGACTAGATCATGTCAGAAGCCAAGATAGCTAATCTGTTGTGATGTTTTTTCCGCCATATTTTTTTTCAGCATTACGGTCCGGAGATTAAATGGGTAGATGGAGGCAAGCCACTGTTGAAGGTTTCAACTCATCTGGTTTCTACGGTGTACACTCAGGTAGAGCGCCCGTCTGTTACAATTAATGGTGACTCCTCTGTGACTGAGCTTGCACGTTATTTTGCAAGACAAAATTCTAATTGATGTACTCTATGGATGTATTTTTATCCTGTAAGTCGTTTTTTTTTTAAGAAAGTACATCCGGAGTATTCATATGTACTGATATAAATAGTACAAGTAACATTTCTCAAGTTTTCCCTTTTGTGGGGGAATTTTCCAGTCTTCTGGTGTTGTCTGTCATTTCTATGTGATCAATTTCATAGTCTTACCAAAAATATGCATGCTGTGAGAAGCAGATACTTTTATTTCATTAGCATCTATGTTAATAAGGTTTTTTTGCTTTTGTTTTTTCTTTTTTTAGGATCAGCATTTACATAATTTTTTCCAGTACTGTCAGAAAACCGAATCCGGGGCCCAGGCCTTAGGGAACGAGCTTGTAAAATACCTTAAGGTATCAGATGGCTTCCCTAGTAACTGCATGTTTATTTTTACTTATTTTATTTTTGGTGAAAATGTACACAGCAGAACCTACACCTGTTCAGCAGTTTTTACATATGCAGTTCAGTGACCAAGGTTACGGATTTTACATTGTGTGACCATTCTCATTATCTCTACCCATACGGTTTCACCTCCGTTAACACAGATTCTCTGCCCCTTAATGTTCTCGTCTCTGCTTTAAAGTTACTGTTGCCAGTTTGAGCTCAAATACATAATTCTTTAAAAAAGCTCAGCACTCAAGGATAACGGCCAAATTGTTGTTTAGTTCAAAAATGACTTCATGGGATAGTTTCGGTTCAAGATTTAAAAATTGTTTCCAGACAATAGATTTAGGGGTTCAGTCAGTCTCAGTGGATCCAGTAAGCCTGGTTTCCAGGAGTGTTGAAGTTCTGTTCCACAGTTTTTCTCCTTTTGATTAGGATTCATCTTTCAGGTCCTTGCTCAAAGCATTCAGTAATGGTAGGTGGACACCATCCATTTCTTCTGGTCTCATGGTGAAGGAGACAGTAGTTCATGGAGGTGATTAGACCTAAAGTCCATTTCCTTCTCTGATTCCTGAGTCTCCTTCTTCCTCTGTTGCTCCAGGCGAATAGAGACCAATTGTTGTATCTTGGGTGGCCGCTGGCAAGCTTTTAAGACCCCAGCCGCTACTCACTGAACTAGGAGGTAGAACAGAGACTGTAAAGAAGTAACCACTTTTTAATGAGTTTGGAGTAGTTTGGGTTTTCTATTGGTCAAGAGTGTTATTCTTGCCCCTTGGAAGCCCTCTCTGAAGATGTGCGTACCTGGATGTAAGGGCATCATTAGCTTCTAGATAGACTTAGAAACAGTACTACTCTTGCCTTCATCCTAGCCCCACGTATATTTTTCTCAGACTAGACCTTTGAAACACACTCTTTCTATACATATAAAATCATTCACTTCACACAGGCCCTTCCTGTTGAGTGTTCACTGGGTATACAGCCTGGTAGCGAACACTTGAGAAGCAGTGACTTCAGTCCCTCCTCCTAGGAATTCTAGTTCATTGTAGGAGGTAATAGAAACTTGGTGAATGCATGCTAGGTGGATAAATAAAACAGACGGTAAACATGACCAATCCCAGGTTTGGGTAGGGGTTAGGGAGGTTCCCGGAGTCACTGAGCAATGAGAGCAAGGTAGAGTTTGGCTAGGGGAGTTTCATCTAGAGTGTGATTCTGGGGTATGTTTTGAGAAAGGAGAGTAGCTGAAAGGACATTTTAGTCATCGGGACAAAACATATGAACTGTGAGAAATGAGAGAAGTTTGTTTGCTTTAAGTAAGGAAAATGGAGTGGGGATTTCATTTACTACTTCACCAGATCGCCTTTCAACTACCTTATAGAGAGCCCTGTGACTTTAAGAAGAGGCTTTATATTCGTTTTCTGTTGCTGCTGTAACAAATTACTACAAATTTGGTGGCTTAAGACAATGCAATGTTATTATTGTACAGTTCTATAAGTCAGAAGTTGGACCACCCAAAGGCAAAGACGAGAAGGCAGGAAGGGACAGGAAAACTTTAGGGCAGAACCCATGCTTGCTTGTCTTTTCCAGCTTCTAGAGGTTGCTGCATTTCTTGGTTCACAGCCCCTCCCTCCATGTTCAGAGGCAGCAGCGTGGCATCTGTTTGATGGTTCTTCTTAAGTCACATCTCCCTCTGACTTCTCCTCTGCCTCCTTCTCGGTTCGAGTCCACCCAAAGCCATGTTGGGAGAAAGGCCTGGCAATCCACTTCCAAAAGATCAGTCATTGAAAACCATATGGAGTACAGTTCTACTCTGACACACATGGGGTCACCATGAGTCAGAGTCGACTCCACGGCAGCTGGGGTGGTGGTGGTATGATTACATTGGGCCCACCCAGCTATTCCAGGGTAATCTCCCTATTTCAAGGTCAGCTAATCAACAACCTTAGTTTTCCTATGTTGTGTATGTTGTATCCACAGATTCATGAGATTAAGATATGGGTGTCTTTGGAGGCCCATTATGCTGCCTCCCATCGCCTTTCATTCATTGTACATGGAATTTTTCCATCCTTATTTGAAACTGAGTGGAAATTACTTTGGATGGGTGCACTTTTTTTAAAGATAACTGGAACTTTGCCATTCCGTGTCTGCAGAGTCTTCATGCGATGGAAGGTCACGTGATGATTGCCTTCTTGCCCACCATCTTAAACCAGCTGTTCCGAGTCCTCACTAGAGCCACCCAGGAGGAAGTCGCCGTCAATGTGACGCGGTGAGAAAGGCGGATAGACGGATGCGCTTCTTCTCTTTCAGTCTGTCCGTATCTGGAGCACAGTCATACGTACCTGAGATGCTACTGTGTGTTGGGCGTTATATTTAAGAAATTTCTGTTGATCCCAGATATAGGGACCACATCTAATTCTATGTTTCCTGTGGTGCCGATAGCATCATCATTGTTCCTACTACTACTGTGATGATAATGAAATGTTTTCCATTTTCACATTATTATTCATTGCTTTATTCATTCCTGTGGTGTGTAGGGTCATTATTCATGTGGTTGCCCAGTGCCATGAGGAAGGATTGGAGAGCCACTTGAGGTCATATGTTAAGGTATGTAAAATAAACTGTCCCGGTCATTTACATCTGTGGCTCTCCAATTTTCCTTCTAAGGACTTTTTTTTCTTTTTTTCGAGTCTAGTTATTCGGGGATGTACTTGAAACTCAATGCCTGTGTTTTCTCTTCTCTGCCTTACAGCCAGTGAGTGTACCTGGACAAGCAGAAGTCCCAAGAAGGGGCAATGATTCATTTATTTACTGAACTTCATTCTTTCAACTACCTTTCTTTTAATGGATTTTGCAAATAATGTGACCCTAATCCCCTTGAAGTTGAAAGAGGAATTTTATGTTACTCTTGACTAGACCATGGGTATACCTAGCTGCCTTTTTCCAGTCTAAAATTCCTAGTAGAACTGCTTGTCCCAAGATAGAAAGGTTAGTTCTGGCCACAACCAAATTAGATGACTGTGTGAGGAACAGGAAGTGATGTCATTAGGGTAAATATCATTAAGTTCTTTTTTATATAAAACATTCAGTAAACATAGCAGCACTTACTGTTCTAAAAAGTTCTAATAAGATTTAGATACCTTTGTGAATTATAACTATATGTCAGTTTAAAAAATTGGGGGTTCTTCAGGGTGTCCGTTACTGAGTGTCATATGATCCATTCCTTGGAATCCTTGGTAGAGATGGAGTTATTGAGCTGAATGACCACTGATCTGACTGAGTCGGGGGATTCACATTTTGATGAGTTACCTGAAGACATCATGGGCCTCCTTCTTTCTATCACATGACAATCACCCTTCCTGCCTTCCGTTTCCATATCTTCCTCTCCCACCCATGAAAATTGTACCTCTGTCCCTGATCTCCAATCGTTGGAGCCTCTCGAACTTTCAGCTCAACTTTGAGAAGTAGTGCATTAAAGTATCTTTCCCTTTTCTTCAAAGTATGCTTATAAGGCTGAGCCATATGTTGCCTCTAAATATAAGACAGTGCACGAAGAACTGACCAAATCCATGACCACAATTCTCAAGCCTTCTGCCGATTTCCTCACCAGCAACAAACTGCTTAAGGTATGTGGGGTGGGCCAGTGTGGCTCTGCAGTGTTGGGATTGATTAGAGAAAATTCCGACCCCACAGGCTGACCAAGTCACCACTTTTATGTGCTCTGAGAGACAGTCACCACCCTCTACAAAGGGGCGGCAGAGTCAGCTCTCCAATCCCAGGTTTGCTACATGGGTCTTGAGATGTTGTTAGGTGCCATCAAGTCAGTTCCGACCCACAGCGACCCTGTGTACAACAGAATGAAACACCGCCTGGTCCTGCACCATCCTCACAATCGTTACTATGCTTGAGTCCATTGTTGCAGCCACTGTGTCAGTCCATCTTGTTGAGGGTCCTCTTTTTCACTGACCGTCTACTTTACCAAACATGATGTCCTTCTCCAGGGACTGGTACCTCCTGGTAACATGTCCAAAGTATGTGGGTCTTGAGATAGGAGCTGCAAAATATTACTGTGGTCAGAATTTCACTTGTTCTTGGATATGAATAAGTCATTATATTTAAATTAAACTTACTGGAGGTAACTGATACAGAGATTGTAAGGACAGGTGTTGCCAGGCGACAGGCTTGGCCGAGAGGAAAGACTGCCCGTGGAGCTGTGAGTAGCAGAGCCTCTCGTTGGACTGAGCCGTGCCGAGTACATGCACCCAGTTTCCTAGTGGGACGGAGGTGTTTGTTGTTCAACAAGTGGAAGCAGAACGCCCGCGTGGCACCTCTTTGGTCTGAGGATAATTTGCTGAGAGGTTCCACTGTGTTTTATGGCCTCACCTGTTTCATGTCGGTAACATTGTCAGCTGAGAGAGTACACTTCTCACTTTCTTATTCGTTGTTTTCCTTACTGAAGCCCTTTTTTTTTCTTCTTCTTTCAGTATTCGTGGTTCTTCTTTGATGTTTTGATAAAATCCATGGCTCAGCATTTGATAGAGAACTCCAAAGTTAAGGTATGTTCCTTCACATCAAGGTTTGCGTGGCAGTTCTTAGGGACAGGCTCCTTCGCCGTATCGGGCAGCTAACATTTATGAGTGCTTTCTCTGTGCCAGTCGCGGCACTGTTCTAAGTGTTGTGTTGCCATCGAGCTGATTCCACCCCACGGAGACCCCACGTGTGCTCCGTAAGATTTTCAAGGCTGTGACTTTGCAGAAGCAGATAGCCAGGCCTGTCTTCTGAGGTGCCTCTGGATGGGTTCGGCTAGTTGTTGAGCACTTAACCATTTGCACCACCCAGGGACTCCTCTAAATGATGTACAAGTCATGTATCAGTTACATTTCCTAACAACCCTCTGAGGGAAGGACTGTTCTTATCCCCATTTTATACACGAGCAAACGGAGGTCTGAGTGCTTGAGTGACTCACCCAAGGTCACGCTGCTAGTAAGTGCAGGAGCCAGGTTTCGAAACCTAGTCTGCTTTCCAAGCCCACGCTCCTCAACTACTGTGTTACTGAAAGAAGAGAAATGTCTTTTTCTTTGACTTGTTTTTGTGTGTTATCGAGTTGATTCTGACTCATAGCAACCCCATATGACAGAGTGGAACGGCCTCATAGGGTTTCCTAGGCTGTAATCTTCACAGGAGCAGATCTCCAGGTCCTTCTGCCACGGAGCAGCTGCTAGGTTCAAACCACTGACCTGTTGGTTAGCCGCCAAGTGCTTAGCCATTGCACCACAAGGACCCCTTTTACTATCTTAGTAAATTTCAAGTTTATTAAAATGGGAACAGTAGTTTAAGCATTAATTTAAAATGCAATTCTGTTGCTGTCGAGTCGATTCTGACTCATAGTGACCCTAAAGGACAGAGTAGAACTGCCCCATAGAGTTCCCAAGGAGCGGCTGGTGGATTCAAACTGCTGACCTTTTGGTTAGCAGCCAGATGCTTAACCGCTGTACCACCAGGGCTCCAAAATGCACCTACCTGATGTTTATTAAGTATCCTGACCAGTGTAGACATTTCTACAGTGGGACTTGGAGGAGAGTATCTGACCCAACTCTCTTGTCCTCTCTGACCGGTTCATGGGCTCTGAGATTGCTCAGTCTCTGACACACCCAGACACCATTTCAAGAGCCGCTGAAGGAGAGAGAGGAAGTCTCTTCTGGTACCCCCTGGTTCCTGCTAGTCTCTGCCATGAGATGGCTGGTCTCATCTGGACTGGTTCCATTGAGGTATGACCGGCCTCGTCTGGCTGGCTGAGGCCAGAACATTGATAAACTTCTGTGAAATTCAAATGCAGTAAACACAGGCATAACTTTCTCATCGTGATGATTTCAGAGTTCCTTCTGAGATGTTCAGTGCCCTGGAACTGTCATTATGAATATGAATTATTGCCGTATTGTAGTTGTGTGGAAACAGGGTTGTGAGGAGTGTGGGCTGAGAGTGGAGGAGCCTGTACAGCTGCCGTTGGGCCTGGTGCTGGACACCGTCAATGCTTGTGCTGTCGGATTCTTCCGGGTGAGGGCGAGGAGCGATAGGGAGGGGAGTCGCCAGAGCTAAGATTCCTGGGCAGGGGAGCTGGACTCTCTGGGGAAGCCTTGTGGAAGGCTGCAGGATTTTTTCCAGGTGGAAGGTTGGTGATGCTGAAGTAAAAGCCATACTTTGTCTACTAGAGCAGGCGCTGGGGCCTGGCCAGGTGATTGCCTTTTTTTTTTGACTTTTAAATCCAGGTTAACATTTCTGATTTTAGTGCCCAGGTAGATGCCAGATGCAAGTGGGCCCTGCCTTCCCAGAGTAATGCACCATCTACATAATGTCGGAACGGCCTGCCAAGGAAAAATCTAGCAGACTGTTCACTTGGCAGTATGCAGCTACAGACATACACAAACACACAGAGACACACACATACGCAGACACACACAGAGACACACACGTACACAGACACACACATACACAGACACACACAGAGACACACACATACATAGACACACACAGACACACACATGTACACAGAGACACACACATACACAGACACAGACACACATGTACACAGACACACAGAGACACACGCATGTACACAGACACACAGAGACACACATACACAGACATACACAGACACACACAGACACACACACGTACACAGACACACACGTACACAGACACACACATACACAGACACACACAGAGACACACACATACACAGACACACACACAGACACACATGTACACAGACACACACAGACACACACGTACACAGAGACACACACATGTACACAGACATACACAGACACACAGAGACACACACATACACAGACACACACACAGAGACACACATACACAGACACACACACAGACACACACATGTACACAGACACACACAGACACAGACACACACAGACACACACGTACACAGACACAGAGACACACACACATACACAGACACACACATGTACACAGACAGAGACACACACATATACACAGAGACACACAAACAGACACACACACACGCGTCATTGGGGTTTATTACGTTTCAGTTAAAAATGTTGTCAGATACAGGATAGGCTCAAGGCCCCCCTGGATTTTGTATTATTTTGGTCTGTCACCTAGACGAACATGATTTCAGAGAGAATAGTGACTTTATTGTATTTAAAAATCTAACTGACTCATTCAGAAAGTATCCATTGCCCCTTCTATGTGCCAGGGTGGACACCTGGTGCTCCAGGAGCCGAGGTTGGGGGATGGATGAAGGAAGACTGCCTGGAAGAGGTGTGGGTTGAGATGGGTTTGAAGATGAAGTAGGTGGCTAGATGGGGAAGGTGAGTGAGTGCACTGGAGAGAAGACCAGTGGGACCCAGCACCACAGATTCAGGGGACCGTTATGGCGCGTTCCCTCCTGTGACCCAGCGAGGACCACGAGGGAGATTGTCTGGAGAGGTCATTAACACCTCTGAAAACACTCAGAAGAGATATATTCAAACTCAACTATCAATGACAAAATCAAGCATCCAAGTACTGTGTTAGAAGATTAATAAAGGAATTTAATTGCATGTATTCTCTTCTCAAGATGCTAAATTAAGCCATAGAGCTTTAGGGATGGTAGGGATCACCTGGAAGGCGTCTTCTGGCCCTGCTCCTCCCTTATTTCGCAAGTGTGGAGATGAGGTATAGACCCATGAGGTGACCTGCCCAGGGTCACACAACTTAGCAGATCTGAGAACAAGTGCCAAGAACAAGTGCCAGCATCAGAACCAGCCTCTCCCAGGTGTCCTGCCGTCTCTAGCCTTGAAACTTAGTTCTCCAGTGCCTCTGGGGAAGTAGTTGATTTGTCTTTGGAACTTCACACAAACTGCTAAAATGCTACCATGCATAACCTCTTCCATAAGTTAATTATATCTTGGTGCTAAAACAGTATTCCAAGAGTTTTTAGAGGTAGTTTACTTTTAAATTGTTACCCAGCTGTGCTTAAAAACAAACGCTGGCATCCAGAGGGAAAAACTTGACCATGACATAGAGATTTTCAACACCTACAGCTTTGGAGAGTTTAACATGGTAACTTTTAGAGTGCCCCTGTCTCCAGGGTGAGTGAAGAATTCTGAGATGGTTCGTGGATCTTGTCACTGCAGATACCCTGCCGCTCTTCCGCTGTCACGCATTCCTGGTCTGTGAACATTTCTAAGGTCTCCTGAAGCCTTCGTTCAGTTTGCCTCGTTTCTGAAGAGTAATGAATTTGATGTGTTTAAATGAATTGTCTTCATGTTTGTCTTATACTTACATTTTGAGAACCTCACGTCCTAGTCCCTTACGGTAGTGTTTCGGATTTAGGAAACAAGTTCGTATTCACCATTCCTCTATCATTCATGATGTCTAAAACTTCAATCAAGTCCCCTCAGAGTTTGTTTTTGAGACTGAAGATAATTAATTTACTCCAATTTCTTTAAAACCCTGGCCTTGATTTTTTTTCCTCATTGATGAGTCTGTCTTAAGTGTGATTGAGAAGATGCACACTAGTCTGTAGGGGCAGCTGAGCCAGAATCTCATAAAAAAGCCAGATAATACTTTCCACTTTGCTTATAGTGCCCCTCCCAAGGATACCTAGCATCAACGAGCGTTTTGATGCATAGTGGTAGACTGAGTTGAAGTCTTCACCATATGGTCCTGTGGTTAGTGGGGTGTCTCCAGCAGATGCATGTTTAATGGAGAGATGCATGTGCACACCGTTACGTTGCTGTTAATGCTGCGTGCTGAAGGTGGAGGCAACCATCCATGACCACCAACCAGACCCTCCAGGAAAACCACGCTTAGTTACATTTGCTGAGGGAAGGGCGTGAATCAGAGCATCTCTCTGGACTAGCATCTAAAACAAGTAGTTTCCTTATTACCACAGGTGGACCTGTGAAGCTGGGATTGATTATGTCTGATTGTGCCAGACTCTAGTGTTTCACAGGTGATCTGAACTCACGATTTACAGTAAATTGTTTTTGAGAATACGAAATAGACCTCATCTAGGGAGTCCCTTCTCCCCTACTCTCTGTCCCTGTGGTCAGCATTCTTTAGGTCTTTCTTTTCTATCATTATATTTAGCAGCTATAATTTCTGCATACCGGCTTTGCATTTCCTTTCCTCCCACACTGGATCAAGTAAATTGCTAGCATTCCACAGGTGTCCTTCCGGCAAGGAGGTTGGAAGACCTGGCGTGGGATAGGATGAGTATAACCCTTGAGCAAGTGTGGCTTGTTCAGCGTTCAGCCATTTTCTAGCTTAATTGAGCAAAGAAAGAGCTTTCATTTTGAAAAGTAGAAGGGTGGTATAGTGCATATTCTGAACGGACTGTTTGGCCTTCCCTAAACTGAGTTTAAAAGCACGGTAAATATGTGAAAAGTGGGAAAGCAGATGCCCATCCTTGCATTCATGACTGAGTGCCTTGAGCAGCTGTTTGCTATCTGCAGAGCCCTGAGCAGGAATGCAGGCGGAGCCTGAATCCTCAGCCTTGCACTTGATGTCATTGCTGGAGAAAGAAGAC